TAAGTGGCTTAGTTTTTTTTTTTCTTATTGACATTTTTCATTGAAACAAAATCTTTAAGGATTTTTGTTTTGCTTGTTATGAAGTACATATTTACACAATGGGCTCTCTGTGTTGCGTCAACAGGAGATAAGTTTTTAATTTTTTGTAACTTGTTATTTATTTCATTAAAATAGAATCTTTAATTGATTGATCTGTTTTCTTAACCTGGCTTTTTCATTGAAATCAAATCTTTGGGTGGCTGATTTATTATTGTATCTTTTTTCCATTGAAATAATTGAAATAATTTAAGTGGCTGATCTGTTTTCTTAACTTGGATTTTTCATTGAAATCAAATCTTTGGGTGGCTGATTTATTATTGTATCTTTTTTCCATTGAAATAATTTAAGTGGCTGATCTGTTTTCTTAACTTGGATTTTTCATTAAAATCAAATTATTGGGTGGTTGATTCGCTTTTTTAACTTGGCCTTTTATGTGGCTGAACCTTTTTTAACTTGGCCTTTTATGTGGCTGAACCTTTTTTAACTTGGCCTTTTATGTGGCTGAACCTTTTTTATAGCTTGGTCTATTTTGTAGGTAACATATTAATGACTGACTAACTTTATTGTCTGTGTAAATCTGTAATGTTAGATTAAACATGGTACTGTACAAATTGTTACGTACATACAAATTTTCCAAAGATGTTATTTAAATCCACCAAGATTTTCAATGGCAATGGGTATAAAGTATGACAAACAAAATCACTAAACATATCGTGTCAATTAGAGATTTGGAGGTCCAATAAATATATCGTGTCAATTACAGATTTGGAGGTCCAATAAATATATCGTGTCAATTAGAGATTTGGAGGTCCAATAAATATATCGTGTCAATTAGAGATTTGGAGGTCCAATAAATATATCGTGTCAATTAGAGATTTGGAGGTCCAATAAATATATCGTGTCAATTAGAAATTTGGAGGTCCAATAAATATATCGTGTCAATTAGAGATTTGGAGATCCAATAAATATATCGTGTCAATTACAGATTTGGAGGTCCAATAAATATATCGTGTCAATTACAGATTTTGAGGTCCAATAAATATATCGTGTCAATTAC